ATAGCCTGTAAATTCTGCTGTAAAGATCTTTAAACCAGCAGTGAAATGTGGGGCAGGCATGAACCCTGAGCAGAGAGAAGGGATACCAGAATGCTGCTGGGGCAGACCCACTGCTGTGGGAGGGAGGACAGCAAATAGGGGATTACCAACATACCCCCAGGTGTTACTAATCCCCTCCTGCAGCTGCCAGTCTTTTCACCACCACATTTACCTTTGTCAGTTGCTGCTGGCAACAAAAATCAGGGGCTGCGGCAGCAGGGATATGTATGAGGGTCTTAATTGGCAGCTGCTCCACTAGCTGCCTAACAACACCTCCCCACACCCCAACAGCACCAGCATCTGGTCCAGCATCTGTGTGAGACTGCCTTGAGCCCCACTGCCCCAAACCTGGACCTCTGCAGAAGTTCTTCATGGAAGATGGGAAGTGTCAGGCTGATTCCCCCTGGGTGCTGGTCACAGCAACATCTCTCTCAGCAGCAGATTTGGCCCTGGAGATAAACCAGTGATCATCTACTCAGGTGCCACAAGATCCTTTTAAGGGTGTCATGGCAGCCCCTATGTGAGGAGTTAAAGTGCTTTCTGTTCTATCTGCTGGGTGCTGCATGCTTGCTCCAGCATCCCATGGACAAGCAAAGCCCATGGCTAATCCTCTAGGGACTCCTGGCCCCCAGCAAGCCCTTTACTAACTGTCCCTGCAGTGCAGGTGGGGCACTCTGCCACAGGTAGATGGGCAGGGGACCACAGTCTTCAACTGGGCTCATTCCCTAATCCTCCCACGTTCCCACAGCTGCCAGAAGAGGCCACAGAGGCAAGTGGCTCTTATCATGCTGGTGCAAAAGTCCCTGAAGGAGCAGCCACAGTGACAAGGCTGCATTCCCCCACTTAAGTACAGACCTGGGGCAGACAGCAGATACAGCAGGGCACAGCAGGGTCCTGAGCCCAATGCCCTCCTCTAGTACCTATATCTGTACCTCCAGTCACCCCATTCCAATGCAGGCAAGGACAACTGCCTCATTCAGGGGTGTAATGACCCACCCCAAAGCTCCCAGATCTGCCCCACCGACCAGTTCCTGCCAGTACCAAGCACCACGCTGTGCCATTTTCTCAGGGATGCCCTTCTGCTGCTGCTACCTGCCCTGCCACCCTGTAGGCACAGACAGAAGTTCAGCTCCCTGCTGCAACTCACAGCGCTTTGCACAAAATGTCATGAATTACAGTGACTCCCCCAGAACCAACAGATGTTCGCTGTTGGGTCCTGGGGGTTCGGAGATTCAGCTGCAATTTAGAGCAGCTGTGAGTCTGCAATGTGGGGTGGGTGGACTGGAGCCCTCCAGCCTTGGTGGGACTCCAGTCCACCCACCCCACCCTCCAGCACCAGCTGAAAAAACTCCAGACTAAACTCTCCCCACTCTCTTCCCTGCCCTCCCATTCTGAAGACAGTACCGGGAACAGGGCTGCGCTGCGTCAGTCCAGACCTGCTCCCAGCATGCGCAGACACAAGTTACTGAAGACATTCCATTTTGGAGCATCTTCATCTGAACCCTCATGCAATGAAGGTTCAGACTGTCATGGGATCGGGCCCTTTTAAAGTGCTCTGCAGCCACACACTTGTGTTTGGTCATGGCTGTTGAGTGCTTTCAGGGGCCAGATTGGGCACAAATTGTTACTTCTGTTTGTGCCTTTTAAGGGTGCCAAAGTGTGAAGAGATAAGCTGTAATAATTCTGTTTGTTTCTGAAATAAGGTGCTGCTAAATTCAGAAAAGTTATGTAAACCTTACCACTACACCTCTGCTTTGAGCTGAGAGAGAGTCAGAGTATGGATAAGAACTCCTTCCCCTAAAGACACTGCTTCCACACTGGAGAAAGCTAGCACAAACTGAAATTCTTCCCTACAAATATTTGTTAATTACCAACATCCCTCACATTCTCTCTCACAGCCTCTTCTACAGTTTCATCCAGGTATCAAATCATGATGAATGTGACATTATGGGGGATAAATCTAGATAATAAACAATACTGTTACATTAGCCAGAGGAAAATATCTATATTAGCAACGCAGGGGGAGGGTTGTACCATCCATTCTTTTTCTGCTTACCGTTTTGGCTGTGCTTTAGGCAGAGTACAGCTGGCTTTATATGGCAGTGTTGAAGCCGATGAAAGGTGACTTAATACTATACAACAGTGGTGGGACGTGGGAAGGAAAAGTGGCTGAGGGCTTAAAGCAACTCTTACAACTTGGAAAAACTGGTAGAAAAGTGCAAGTATGCAAACCCTGCAAGTACATAAATGTGATAATCTGCAAGTATTGCCAAGCCTGCTACTTCTTCAAAGCCCTGCTTGGGACCTTTTTACCTACTGTGAAGATTAGTTCACATGGAGACTTAGTATGACACACTTTCTGAATTTATTTGGAATTTTTATGAGGGATATGGAGAAGCCCAGAACAGATTTTTAATCATGTATGTGTTAGAGCAATACCTACCTTGGAGACTGAGCTTCAGCTACCCACATTAGATCCATATTACAAGCAAGAACAGGTATATGTGGGTATTTTGCATGATGATATGGATTTCCTGGATAGCCACTTGTCAGCAAAACATCTATAATCAACTGGAGATTTGTTTCCCATCTGACTGGCTCCCCAAACAAAACAACAGCTGCAAGAATAAAAACATTTGTGAAATGTAATGTAGTTACTCTTGTAGATTATTTGCTATAAGAAATATATGGAAATATCAGGTTGATTTAAAAAGACGTACATTTAAAAAAAAAGTCAGTAAAAACAATGGAATGTCAATAAACATATAGACTTCAATCGACCTTTATTTTACACCTCCTTTGTTCCAGAAATAAACACAGAAATTAACACTTAATAAACAATAATCCACACATTTGACAAGATTATTTTTTTCACTTTATGTTGTCCCATCCCACTGAACAGTATTAGCTCCTCAGACTAAATTTATAGTTATTAAAAAACATTTAAAATGCCATGCATTACATTCAGTATGGTATATGCTGAATTAAACTCCACCACAACTGCCATTTGTCCTCTCACAAATCTACAATATGCATGTTTATATTCTTAGTTCATTTTTTTTTGGATTTCTAGGAATAAGTCACTGGATAGATTTGGCTTGGGCGTTTTTCTTTCATGCTTGGGTCTAGTATCCTACCTCCCAGGTTTCAAGTGGGCTACAGGTGAGGGGGGTAAAGCTAGAAGCAAAACAGTAGAATGCTTTGCTGCCATCATGTCAGTTACTGCATTGAGTAGTATAAGACGGATTCAGTTGGATTCCATTCAAAGCCAGCCTTCCTTTCCAGAAGGAAAGCAGCCCCTCATCACCTCTCCTACTCCTCAGAGGTACATGGGTGAAAAATGCACACCTATAAAAAAGGGCAGACTTTGCTACACGTCACAGGTTCCAGTAGTCATTCATTTCATGTACAAATACCAGAATTCTTTAAGCCAGTCATCTAGGTTATCAATGCAATATTCAATAATTTACAACACTAAGCTTAAGTTTACAGTAAAACGATGGTACTTAATCCTGTAACTGTCTTGAATAGCTAAGTGGAAACAAGGTTTGCTGATTTTTTTTTGATGATCCCTTTTATGGACAAGCTGTCAGGCACCAAGTGGGTCCTGAGGAAGAACGCTTTGTGCCTGACAGCTTGTCTAACATGTCTCCCAACTATACAGTTGGTCAAATAAAAGTTATCACCAAAGAAGCACCTTGCTTCTCACATTTTTGGACCATCACAGCTACGCCACCACTCCAGCCCTGAATAGATAAGTGAAGATAAGACATACTGACCCTCAATTTTGGGAAGGTCCACAGCTGGGGAGTGCTGCAATGAGAAAAAGAAAGGAGGTAAATATTTTCTCCTAGATTTAACAGAAGTAAGTTCAAAGCATTACTCCTCTGACTGTTCCCTGCAACACTGATAGGAGATGCACTTTACATTTTCATGAAAGTATTAGATCTTGATACCACCTTGCAGAAAATGTAACAGTTTGTAGGACTTAAGCGTGATGTTGGGGCAACAGCCAGAAGCAGAGACTGAATCTGTATATTCCCAATTCTGCTGTCTTTACTTGTCAAATTTACCCATCTAGAAAATAAGAATAATTACTTTTCTACCAGGGATATTGCAAGGCATTAACATTTATAGGGGTGGTACACCACATTTTAAAACAATATTTTGCACTAAGATGTTTTATAAAACTGCTACACAAGGTAAAGCCAGAGTATTTGTTTTGTACCACCTTAGATTCATAGACTGTAAGGGGCTGGAAGGGACCTCGCAAGATCATCAGGTCCAGCCCCCCTGCACTAGGCAATAAAGACAACTGGGGTCAGGTGACACCAGCAAGATGACTGTCCAGTCTCCTTTTGAAGATTTCCAGGGTAGGTGATTGCACCACCGCTGGAGGGAGCTTATTCCACAGTCTGGACACCCTAACTGTGAAGAAGTGTTTCCTAGTGTTAAACCTGTAATGGTCTTCCAGGAGTTTGTGGCCATTACTCCTCGTTTTCACCAAGGCTGCCCTGGTGAACAGTTGTTCACTGAACCCTTGATGTATTCCCCTGATGTAGCAGTAAGCTGCTACCAAGTCCCCTCTTAGTCGTCTCTTTTTTACGCTGAAGAGGCCCAAGTCCCTCAGGCTTTCCTCATATGGCTTGCCTTACAAGTCTCTGATCATACAGGTGGCTCTTCTCTGGACTCTCAAGCTTTTCCACGTCCTTGTTGAAGTATGGTGCCCAGAACTGGATGCAGTACTCCAGCTGCCGTCTCACCAGTGTCGAGTAAAGTGGAAGAATCACTTCCTTAGTTTTGCTTGAGATGCATCGGTTGATGCACGCCAGAGTACTGTTTGCCTTGTTGGCTACAAAAATCACACTGATGGCTTATGTTCATACTATGATCTGTTATTACCCTAGGTCCCTTTCAGTTGTGGTGCTAGTCAGTTTGATGCCACCAAGGCTGTAAGTATGTTGGGGGTTGTTCGTTCCCAGATGGAGCGCTTTACACTTCTCAGTGTTGAACTTCATCTGGTTCCCATCTGCCCAACTTCCCAGCCTGTCTAGTAGGCCTGTACAAGTAGGCAGTTACTCGATCCAGCTTCAGGTCCGGACACTTTGGATGTCAGTGATCCGATCCGGAGCTCTGGATCAGTTTCCCACTTCAATCCGGCCAAAGCAGCTCCCAAGCTCTGAAGCCGCCTCAGAGATCTGGTCATAGGGTATAATGGGGGATCAATGAAATATCTATAACTTTGCTGTTTTTTGTCTGATTCATGGTAAACTTGCAGGGGTAGTAGCCTCTGCTGAGAGCATGAAGCCTGCCAAGTTTCAGGAAGATAGGTGCAGGGGCTTGGGTGGAACTGCACCCCAAATTCTTGACAGCAAAACTCATGTCACATGTATGTTACACACCACAGGGGGGTGAAAACTGCAGGAGTGGTGGCCCCTGCTGAGGCCACAAAGCCTGCCAAGTTTCAAGAAGATAGGTGTAGGGGTTTGGAGTTAACTGTACCTCATGCTGCTGACAGGCAAAACTTGTGACATAGATGACCCTGTGTGTGTTAAGGCTCAGCATGCTGAAAACTGCAGGGGTGGTGGCCCTTGCTGAGGCCACGAAGCCTGCCAGCTGTGTGTGCATCTCACTGGGGGAGTCTGGCTCCTGGAGCCCTGCACCTCTGGCTGCTAGCAGGCAAAACTCGTGATGTGGGTGGGTGACACTGTGTGTATGTTAAGGTGCACCCTTTCTGGTGCTGGGGCCTCTTCCTTCACTACAGCCACAGAGCCAGTCCACCACTTTACGTGACAACAAGTAAAATAACTTAGCTGGCTCAACACCAGCAGCAGCAGCAGCAGCAGCAGCAGCAGCAGCAGCAGCAGCAGCAGCAGCAAAGGTACACAAAGGGAACTGTCACAGCCTTTATTTTTATAAAGGAATCAACAGCAAGCAGTAAAGATGTGTTGTGCTGGACATATGATGTTACTCACGGTGTGTGATGGCTTGTCTTGTATTTTTATAGATATATGTTTATTATGAAAACAAGGAGTACTTAAAAATATATATCTTTGGCAGCTTTAGGGTTGAAAACCCCTTTGTCAGGCTGAGGAAGTACCTGCAGTTGGTCCTGGATGGAAGGAATAGTAAAGAAGCCAGAGGATGGCCTGGCCCGCAATGCAGGAAAGAAAGCCAGTCAGTGAAAATGGAAATGGAGGCATCAGGGGGTGAGGGACAGGCTGGGGTAGGCGGGGAAAAGGGGGATGTAGCAGCGCAGGTAAAAGTGCATAGGTGCCTGGGGGGTCAGATGTCCGGCCAGTTGCAGTGTGCCAGAACTCCACTGTGTATATTTTGTCCATCAGTTATTGTACCTACTACCTAGGAGGCTGATGAAGTACAGTTCATAGGCCCAGCTCTGAAAAGTAGTTGGGGGGAGGGGGGCAGGGCTTGCAGCTCTACCTCTCCCCCTACCCCCTCTCCCTCCCCTGGCAGAAGACCTGGCACCTGCCCCTTAGTCCAGTGAAATACTGAAGGAAAGTAGTCATTCAGGAGTTCAGTTCTCCTGAGTGATTCAGGAGCTCTTTCTCCTGAGTGTTGGTAGCCAGCTATCCCAAGTTGTAGGATGGTCTCACGCTTCCATTTGTTTTCCTTCTGTTCCCCACATACTTAAAGGAGGACTTCTTATTGTCTTTGATTTCTGTTGCTAGTTTAAATTCAGTCACCGCCTTAGCGTTTCTAATCTGGTCCCTACAAATGCAAGCCATTGTTGTATAGTCCTCCTTGGGGACTGTCCCAAGCTTCCATAGTTGGTATACCTCTTTCTTCTTTTTCAAGAGGACCGTGATATCCCTATTAAGCCAAGAGGACTTATCAGCCCATCTGCTACCTTTCCTCTGCATAGGAATGGACTTCTTTTGGGCTTCGAGGATCACATCCTTGAGGAACAACCACTCTTCATGCATTCCTTTCACCTTCAGTCTCTAGCCCCACAGTGCTTCCTCTACTATTGCCCTGAGCCTGTTGAAATTCACTTTTTTGAAGTCCAAAACTTCAGCTCTGCAGGCTGATTTGCCTGCCCTGTGGTTGATAGTGAATGGGATGGTTTCATAGTCACTGTCACCCAGGCTACCCTTTATATTCAAGTTGCTCAGATCGTCTCCTTTGGCCAAGACCAAGTCTAGGAGAGCATTATCTCTGGTTGGCCCATGCACTTCCTGAGTCAGGTAGAGCTACCTTACCCTCTCTGCCCAATGACCACAAAAGTTCTAATACTTTGAACTCTGCATCTTTGTTTGGTAGGTGAAAGGTGAAACGACTAACTGTATGAGATGGTTTAGATAGGGATAATCCTGCCTCAGGTAGGGAGTGGACTAGATGCCCTCCAGATATCCCTTACCCCTAGCTTTTCTATGATAGACAGGCTGAACCTCAACAAGTCACTCCCTGGCTTTTGTTGTCTGTGCCTTTATCCAAGTATGGTTCCACTGATAGTTATAACATGCAAGGAATTGGTTCAATCTAGTTAGGTTTCTGTAAAGAACTAAATTAAATAAAGCCAGAAAACAGATGCACTTTCCTAATCATCTCCTTCCAAATATAAATGCAAGATTTCTTTCCAGAGGAAAGCATTAGGTTCTCAGTTGTATTTTGTCCTATAAAAAAAAAAATGACTTTTCATAAAAAACGAGACTTGCCAAACTTGCAAAAGAACAGCTGAAGTGTAATGGCTTGTATAGATGAGCAACTAGCAATGTTACTGAGCACGTATAACACTTGTAGAAAATGTATAGAAGTTGAAGGAGAGTCTTCACCTAGTTAAATTACATTCTAAATTAAGCCATTTCATTTCAATTCAAGTTTACTTGGCACAATTATTCTACAAAATATGAGCAGGCATTTGGCTTGCTCATGTTTTTCAAACCCCAACCTATCTTTAAAATACCCTGTTATTCAATTGTAAAGTACAAGAGAGAAAATTACTTTTCCCCTGAACTTTTAAGCAATAGATTTTGGCAATCATGAAAGCTGAGAGATTGATAAGCTACTCTAGTTGCTCTGTTTAGCCATATAACACAGAAAGCCATGGCAAAACTACAGCAAACTTCTTAGGGTATGTCCATACCAGAGTTATTGAGAGACTGCAGCACAGTGTAGAGATATTGAAGCTAGCTCTAAAATTTAACTAGCTTAGCTATCCTAGTAGCAGCATAGAGCATGGCATGGGTTAATCTACGTTGTTTCATGGCTGCAGTATAGACATACCTACCCTTAATTCCATTAAGAAACCCCAAAACTAACCTAAGGAGATCACCTCTCTTGCGAGTGTTCATTTTCCACACAGTTGGGCTTCTATAGAAACTGCCAACAAGAATATTAGTGTTAGTGATCACTGGGGGTGTTGTCAGTGGAGCTTCTTTCAGTTAAGCCATACAGACTAGTTTGTTTTGTACTGAAGCAATAAAACAATTTTATATTCAAGATGCCAAAGGCTGACTAAAATAGTTAAGAAATAGTAGAATATTCTAAGGCAAGCATACCTTGGCTCCCCTCACACCTTCAATGAGCGCTTTTATTGATAATGCATACTTCTTCATCCAACTGTCAGAAGGATTAGTTTGAAGTATTGTGTTGATATAGTATGCAAATGATCCTGAATTAACATGGCCCATGGACACTAAGAATATATTACTCCAATTGTTGCATTCCCATTTAACATTTCTAAGGACATGAAAGGGTTACTATTACTAGCCTTGATCAATCTTTTTTCTTCCCACACTATCTTTCTTGAGATGAGCAAGATACTCTGTAGCTCAATTAGTAACAACATTTTT